GTTCTTTTAGGTCCCCAATATAGTACGGCACCCTTATAAAAAAAGGACCCCCAAAGGGACCCTAATTTAGAGAACTACCCATGTACTTCTCTGCTCAAAATCCCTTGCCCTAATCCCCAAACCCTAAACCCTAAACCCTAAACCCTAAACCCAAAGGTCCTAAGGATCAACCTGTGTGCTTCTGAACTCTCCCGCAGCCCGAAACGCAGACGTCAGCGTCTCAATTCCCAAAGCCCCAAGCCCTAAATCCCATCATGGAAGCTTTCGTGCTTAGGGCTTAGGGTTTAGGGCTTAGGGTTTAGGGGGCTTAGGGTTTAGGGCTTAGGGCTTAGGGTCTAGGGTTTAGGGGGCTTAGGGTTTAGGGCTTAGGGCTTTGGGTTTAGGGGGCTCAGGGTGTCGAGCCTTCTACGCTATAAACCCAAAGCTAGCTGCCTCAAAGAAGACCCAGAGCCGAACCTTACTTAAAGGATCATGGGACTTAGTGACTGAGGTTTAGGGGTTTGGGGGTTTAGGGTTTAGCGTTTAGGGGTTTAGGGTTTAGGGTTTAGGGTGTACTTAAAGGATCATGGGACTTAGTAACTGAGGTTATAAACAAGGTAACTATACTTATATCCCCAATTAGGGTACTTATAACCCTACTTACTAAGTCCCAAGATCCTCCAAGTAAACTTCCTTATCCCCAAACGCCATGGTCTCAGGGTCTAGGGCTTACGGTTAATGGTTTAGGGTTTAGGGTTTAGGGCCTAGGGTTACGGGTTTAGGGTTTAGGGCTCTAAACCCCGAGCCCCTGAACTCTAAGATCGCACGCAGGGAGCTCGAAAGTTGTCTAGGTCGCCCTTATGGATTCTTTCTTCCAGAACAATCAGTCAGGGTTCAGGGAAACCCCAAACCCTAAACACTAAACCGCAAACCCCCAAAACCGTAGGTAGAGTTTTCAGAGGCCTAGAGCCCTAAACCCTGGAACCCTCAACCCTAAACCCTAGAGGTCACGCTTATGGACTCTCTGTCCCAAAACTTCGCGACGAAGCTCAGCAGCATGCGCACCTGGATGATGTGTGGCGAGGCACACGGGTTTAGGGTTTAGGGCTTGGGGTTTAGGGTTTAGGGGGTTTAGGGTTTGAACCGAAGTCAGAGAACATTCTTTGGTGCGTATAGTTACAGTACAATAAGCTACGGCGTAGACATCTGTACCATGTGCAGCAAAATGCGTGCTTAAGCTACTCTGCCCGGGGGTCCTATCGTCTGACGAAGCAGCGATGCACCTTTGCATCTGTGGTGTCGCTCAGCGCAGTATAGGGACCTTGTTTGTTGCCTATACTATTTCGGGGGTTCCCTATTATAGTTATAGTATCATATAACCCAAAACCCCGTTCTAATGAGTAAGGCCCCTATATTATGCACAGTGATCACGGCCAGCCACCTGTCCGTAAAAAGCAGCCCATAGGCTTGAAGAATCACTGATAGCAGGTATCCACTCCCGCCACATTCATAGGGTTTAGGGTTTAGGGTTGTAAGTCATGAACCCCTCTCAACCTTTAAACGGATCCTATAAGGGTGCTTATAGCGCCGGACCCTAACCCGAAAACCGATTGCCCTTTCATCAACCATAAAGCGGTTGATGATATAAATCCTGCATTGCCCAGAATAAGGAATATACCAGAATTCCTACAGTTTAGGGTCCTTAAGGTAATGCATGATTTATATCATCAACAATATCCCGCAGATCCTACCCTAAACCCTAAACCCTAAACCCTAAACCTTAAGCCCCTCCGCCATGCAGGTCCTTCCGATGAAAGTGGCCCGCGGCTTACTTGAGCAGCACGAAGGATTCAGGAACAGGCTTGAACCTGTCTGGTAGGTCGGGAACCCTAAACCCTCAACCCCAAAACACCAAAACCCCAAAACCCTAAACCCTAAACCCTAAACCCTCAACCCCAAAACCCCAAAACCCTAAACCCAAAACCCTCAACCCCAAAACCCTAAACCCCTAAACCCTAAACCGCGCCCGAAGCTCTAAGCTTAGCTGCTCTCCCAGAGCAGTATAACTGTCGCAAATGGCTGGGGCAGTTTCGCCGAACAAAACGGGCACTGGTTCAAGAACCCTTCGCGGGTTAGGGTTTAGGGTTTAGGGTTTAGGGTTTAGGGTTTAGGGTTTAGGGTTTAGGGTTTAGGGTTTAGGGTTTAGGGTTTAGGGCCCTCAACCTACACTCCGAAGGCAAGAATCTACATCTTGATCCCCAAACGGCCTCTAGCTGTGGAGAACCCTCAGAACCCTTCTAGAACCTAAAGGCGTAGGTCCAAGGATTCCGTTTCCTTGAGGCGAACCGCTTCCGCGAGACGCTACCCAGGCCGCCTGTCCATGCCCGCCGTAACATACTATGGGGGGCCTTTATTAAACGGTTTAGGGTTTAGGGTTTAGGGTTTCCTTTGAGTACTTGGAGGGTCGGGGGACTTAGTAAGTAGGTAATAAGTAGACTTATACGTACCCTAAACGGGATCCTAATTGGGGTTATGGTACGTATAAGTCTGTAAAATAAGTACCTACTAAGTCCCCCGAC